ATATTTCTTATATATTATTTATGTTACAGATCTGCCTATGAAAGAATGCGAAGAAGCTTTTGAGCAAGAAGTCAAAGACAAAGTTCTTCTCAATCATGTGTTTCRCTTAGTCGAAGCATTTAGCCCTGACCTTTGTTTAATTATGTGTAACTTCTATATATATTGTATTTCCTATAACTTTGGCCCTTCAGTAGATATGCCAGGTTGGACACTGTGTGAGCTCAATGATGCCGACAGATACATTTTCCCAAATGATATCAAAGACAAGAAAGGCTTTTCATACAGAGAAAGAAAGGTTAGTGTTACAGGTTGTCATTGTCGTATTGTTAAGATTAATAGCAACGCCAAAGGAGAATCGGCTTACCTAGTATGCTTTGAGGTCAAACTTCCCAATTTTGTTGCATTTTTCACAGTACATTTTACTAGTAGAATGGCTTTGTCAGTTCGTATTAATAACATGATACATTTTTGTCTATAGAATCCATGCTTGAAAAACGGACCTTGCAAAGGAAACAAGACTTGTGCGCGGCTACAGTGTGACCTGAAGCAGTTCACTTGTATCTGCCCAAAAGGATATTTTGGCGAGAACTGTGAAAAGGGTAGGTAATATTTATATTAGCGTTAAATAAATGATTGATGCATTTTATTTATCCTTGAGAATAGCTTACAATGCAGCAGAATATGGAATTTAAGTTTAACTGTTTACTGGGAGCCAATTTCTGGAGAATTTTAGTTATTTTGGTGGCAAAAATGCGTGATATTGGCCAAATAAGGTTGAGCAAATCCGTCATATATCTTTAGGTTAGCATGTGCCCGCAAATTGTTTGGTTGTTTTAGTAATGTAATTATAAGACATCGATTGAACAATAATGTTGGATATTTCCAAAGTGAACATTCGGGATTTTGACCTCTGAATTACAAGATATTGCATTAAAATTAAATTTGGCGAATTTGCTCTCAAATATACTGTTGGCATAGCAACAGATTAAAAGAAAAATGTACCTCTCTGGGTGGTGATATCAGTTGACAGTTTTATTTAAGAACCACAACTTTTACATCTCTGTAATCAATAGTAATGTTCTGCTTCAGTACAAAAATAGGTATATATATACATATATATTTTTTGTTTTTGGGTTAATTGGGCATTTTTAGGGAATAAATCCCACTAATGCTCTAATATAATTTACCAAGTATGAGAAAAATAGCTGAAAACCCAAAAAGCACCCCCTGTCTTGTCCTGTGGTGGACACACCCTTAAGGCAAAGGCAATTTATTGTCACCGTGTAAAACACTTTTGCATTGGCTTAAAATACAATAAACTAAACTAAACAACACAAAGATAACAAAGATTACAAATATTATTAATCGAGAATCTTAAACTTAATAGCCAACCAATGCATTGATTGAGATTTTTTGTTTTTCAACATTTTCGAATACAAATTTTGCTATTGGTTTTTGTAGTGGCTTTGGAGGATTTATCAACAGTAAAAATTTCTCATTTTCATCTTTGTCATGCAAGCTAATATTTTCTGACGAATAGAATGTTTCAACCGAATCTTAGACCTTTCTTCTGAGTAATAAGGACATGATAACAAGATATGTTTTTCATATTCTATGTGAAGTTTGCATATTTTGCATATTCTTTCTTCTTAATTTCAAAGACCCATTCATAACCCCCCCTCCCCTCCTCCTTCCCGTCCTCTCTCTCCAACATCGATCTGGGCATGTATACATCGAATACGTATTTGTACGCCTCTCCGTGCAGAGATTCATCTTTTCACATATTTTTCTCTCTTATTTTTGAAGATATTGATGAATGTTCTAGTAATCTGCATAATTGCACACTTGAAAATCCTGGTGTTAAGTGTAATAATACCCCTGGGTCTTTCAAGTGCATTTGTGCAGAAGGATACGCCGGTGATGGAATCAACTGTAAGAGTAAGTATTTTTATATTTAATTGCATATGCATCCCCTTATTCAACCATCATCCACTCATTCCTTCATCCACCCATTATTATTTATGTATTTTTTTTAATTCCACGTCATGATATTTTTTATTGAATATTAAAATAATTGTAAATGTATAATGATCCAACCAATTCATCGGCTTTTTTCGTCCATCTATCATCTTCTTATCCTTGCATCCATCCATCCATCCATCCTTCCATCCATCTGTTCGTCCATTCATGCAGTGTCGAACTTTGAAAGGGAAAAGACCCTCGTAATTTCAACGGGGCTCTACTTTTGACAAATATGGAACAAATTACTTGACAAAAAGCCGAGGATATATTTTTTTTGTCTCCCCCCCATTCCCCACGCTAATGACATATCAATGCATGGGTCCTAATTTACAGTCAACCAACAAGATATTGTAAGTTCTAGTATGACACTAATTTCATGTGAACATATAATAATCATTTTTTCTTTTTGCCTTCTTTAGAAATGGTCTCGTGGATCAAAATAAATGTAGATCCTGTGTGCCTTGGAAAACCAAATGACGGCTATGGGGCAGCTATTGTCCCTTTTGATGCAACAGTAAAACAGTTGAAGCTCGCTCATCACTCGGGGGGAGTCTCCCAGATTAATAGCCCGGTAGGGGCCCGAAACTGGGGAGATAATAGTACACCACAGTCACTTCAGTTGGTAATAACTGACGAAAATAGGAATGTAATTGCACCTTATCCCGGCTATCCCGGAGATAATTTTCTATTTTTCACCATTGACGACATAACTGTGTCAAGTGCTGAATTGATTTTTCCTATTTCCGATCCTCCTTTGACAATCAAAAAAAATGCAAAACTCATGATCTGGTATATCGCAAAACTTCACGACATTGATAGTGGCAGTTACATTAAAACATGTGCGGATCTGTATATTCGTGTGTAGATCGGTTGCCGTTATAGACAATGTTAAGGCTATATTAGATATAGAGTTTGCTGGAAAATTTATCTCGACACGCCAAAGCGCACCAAAAGCCTAATATGTGCAATTTACGAATATTTGTATTCGATAAATCATAGATTAATAGATATGACAAGTCATCTAATAATACTTAATATCCTTTTAAGTAAGTAACTGTCTGAATTATTTACTCCAAAAAAGTTGTAATCGTGGCAAAAATAAAGTTGATCTCGTTGTTGCTGGAATTAAGTCGACCATTCCCTCCTGCCCTTCGGAATGTAATAGACTGCTGGTTATTAACTCGTGGATAATCAAAATGTAGAAACGAGTTATTGTGACGGGGTATGAATATCCTCTGTTCAAAAAATAAAATAAAATAAAAATCGGCTCAAGCCTATGCGACTAGACCGAAAGGATTACTAAAAGGCACTGAAGTAGCAACACCCCCTCCCCCCTCCTCCCCCGTATGACCGCCTCAGAAATGTGGTTCCATTCTTTAGTACCCCCTAAAAATGGTAGAGGGAGGGGTGTTCTACATTCCTGAATACCCCCTTAAGAATGTAGAGGGAGGGGTGGTCTACATTCCTGAATATCCCCTAAAAAATGTAGAGGGAGGGGAGGTCTACATTCCTGAAGTCCCCCTTAAGAATGTAGGGGAGGGGTGGTCTAAATTCCTGAATACCCCCTTGAGAATGTAAGGGGAGGGGTGGTCTACATTCCTGAATAATCCCTTGAAAATGTAGGGGGAGGGGTGGTCTACATTCCTGAATACCCCCTAAAAAATGTAGAGGGAGGGGAGGTCTACATTCCTGAAGTCCCCCTTGAGAATGTAGGGGAGGGGTGGTCTACATTCCTGAATACCCCCTTGAGAATGTAGGGGGAGGGGTGGTCTACATTCCTGAAGTCCCCCTTAAGAATGTAGGGGAGGGGTTGTCTACAATCCTGAATACCCCCTTGAGAATGTAGGGGGAGGGCTCAAGCCTATGCGACTGGACCGAAAAGATTACTAAAAAGCACTGAAGTAACAACACCCCCTCCCCCCCCCCTTTGACCGACTCAGGAATGTGGTTCCATTCTTTAGTACCCCCTAAAAATGGTACAGGGAGGTCTACATTCCTGAATACCCCCTTGAGAATGTAGGGGGAGGGGTGGTCTACATTCCTGAATACCCCCTTGAGAATGTAGGGGGAGGGGTGGTCT